TTCACATTGTAAAATTTATTTAAAAAAAAGTCCCGCTGGGTTTCTCGCTGGTTCTTCCCAGGACTTTTCAGGAGGTTTTTCTCCGAACCAATGGTAAAGTAAAAATGACTTTCAATAAGAATTACATGTGACCTATATTAAATAAAAAATGATTTTATTCTATTCCATTCTTGAGCTAACCATCTGTTTAGTAATATAATGCAATGCACCTGATGATTGTTTCTAATGAAGCCCAAGATTGTTTGATTACGTGTCGTCTGTGATTGCTGGCGCTGCGCGAATACGTACGTATACAAATCTCGACGTGAATCAATTTCATGGGAAAAACCCTGGGTTAGTTAGCTCATGACGCCTCCTTGACATTGACGCCCCGAATGACTGTGCTGAGGTCGAGTCCTGTGTCGCTGTGTGGCATAAGGGTAATTGATAAACGTTCTCGGCCCATTATGAGGTTTTAAAACCATCTTCAACGCAATATTCGCGTTAATGCACGTCCTAATCGTCGCAATGCGTGCTTATCAAATATCACGCCATGAATTTTTCTCTAATTTGACTTTCGTCGTCATTTGTTGTGGCTGTTTTTACGAAAGGCATCGCGTTTAATGCCAAATTTAATTTCACAAGTTTTCAGTTCATCCATACATATATATAGTAAAGTTACGGCCTGTATACGTCCCACTGCTGGGCACAGGCCTCTCCTCATTTCTGAGAGGGTTTTAGGGCAAGGAATTGTCCGCCAGGCTACCCCAATGCGTGTTGGCGAACTTCACATGTCTTCGATGTATTATTTTTTTCTTATTTCTCTGACATGCAGGTTTCTTCACGATGTTTTCCTTTACCGCCGAGCACGTGGTAAATCAGCACTTAAAATTGCAATTAACAATTTCATTGGTGCCGGCGGGGATCGAACCCGGTTTGCTCGCGTACTTTGAAATTTACAGCGAGCACTAACCATAAATTAAGTTGATTCGACCATAGCTTAGATTCACAATTAGACCTGGTAGGTGGCGCTGTCGTCGAAATCCATAAATCACCCGTGCGAAGCCGCGAAGAGTGCGAAGGCGTATAGCTAGTTTTATTATAATTAGCTATGTTGATATAAAGCTAGAATATACTAGAATTTAAACCAAATACCTACTTGAATAATTTCTTAAATTTTCCGTTTTTTTTTTGCTGTGCTATATAAATGACATCATAATAAAGAGATGCCATTTTGCCCTCACAGCGCTAATGGCCCGTAATAACCTGAAACTAGATATCAGCTACGGGTTATTACATTTCTGGTACTCAATAAAGCAATCAACTGAAGGCTTTATGTTGAAATTCTATTAACTCTCGATAGCGATGACATCCTAGTACAGAGATAACGAAAGCCTTAACACAGTAAGGTTAAGTGGAACGTAAAACTTTATGTTCCTACTGAAAATGATTAATTTGTTTTTTTTTTTGAAGTTTAACAGATTTAAGTCTGCATATTAAGCGTTCACACCACAGAACATCACAACTGTGCAGCTCTCAACCAGTTCACATTCTTCACAGTGCACGATGTTGTTCTGTCACTGAAAAAAGTCGTAAGATCTAGTAACATTGCGTAAATAAAACTTAATTTCCAGTTGTAGTTCAAGGAAGTTTGCTGATGAATATCAAATGTTGTCGAAATATTTATGATTTTTCAGTCATGCGAATTTTCTCACAATGTTTTCCTTCAGCTCCAAAAACATGGAAAATTAACATTTAATTAAAAACATTACGTTTAGTGATGTGAATTTTGTAAATACCTATTAAATTAAAACAACATGTTTGGCTAAAAACAAGAAAGTCTACTGCGCCTTCGTAGATCTAGAAAAGGCCTATGACAGAGTGGTGAGGAATGAATTGTGGTCAGCACTGTCCATGAACGGTGTGAGCAGTGTCCTCATACGAGCATTGCAATCTCTTTATAGGGATTCTAGTGCTTGTGTGAGGATAAACGGGGTATACACTGAATGGTTTAATATCGAAAAAGGTGTTAGACAGGGATGTGTAGCGTCACCGTGGCTGTTTAATCTGTTCATGTACAATTGTATGACAGATTTAAAAGAGAATGAAAGTGGGTTGAGAATGAATGAGTTACTCGTCAAATGTTTTCTCTATGCTGATGACCAAGTATTACTTGCGTCTTCGGCCGAGGAGTTACAGGAGATGGTAACTGCTATGAGTGGAGCTTTTGTTAGAAAGGGAATGAAGATGAATGTAAAGAAGACGAAAGTGATGGTGTTTGAAAAAGATGAGGCAGTGACAGACTGCAATACGAATACGATTGACGAAAAAGGTTTATAAGGCGAGTGTGAATGGAAGTGCTGGAAGGGGTAGACCTAGGCGGACTTTTCTAGACCAAATTAGGGACGTCTTGAAAAAAGGCCAGGTTAAGAGTACCCTAAATCGTAGAGCATGTATGAAGGGAATAATGAAAGTAGACGAAGCGAAACAAGTATGTAAGGATCGTAGCAAGTGGAAAGAAGTGGTCTCTGCCTACCCCTACGGGAAGGAGGCGTGATTATATGTTTGTAACATTTTTCGACTTTTTGTTTAAAGTTTACTACTGGAGACCTTCCCAAGAATATGTCAATTTCATCATCAGCAGGGATGTGTTTCTCGTGTTTCTGGGCAATTAAATCCTTATTTGCCCTCACGCAAGGAGAAGCTATATTTTTGAACGGTTTTCCGCCGTCCTGTTTGAAGAAAGTTTTGCTGAAAGTTTCTGGAATAGCAGCCTGCAACCTCATATTAGTTAGCGATATCTAGGACGGATGCTTTCTGAGGCACGGGGGTGAAACACCGTACCAACTTCCTGTTCCAGACAACTACTGAGAATTTCTTGACGGAAAAACTCAATAATTGATTTTTTGCCCGACCGGGAATCAGAACCTAGGACCTCTTGATCAGCAGTCACACTACTATAACCACTAAGCCAATGAGGCAGTCACAACTAAAATATGTGCAATACGAAAAGGTAAATTGAGATAAGAAATATTATTACTTCTTTAAAACAAGTTCCAACAACAGAACCAGTGTAGACGTTACTATTGCGGAAACTTACAGGGAAACTTAACTACTAAAAGAAAAACTTACAGGGAAAGTGTTCCGGCGCTGACCGCAAAACTTTTCCGATAAAAGTTCAGATAACAACATACGATTACATACATTTTTACTACTACACAGTCATGTATACCGTGTTCTTTACTACTACGATTTTTTTAAGTGTTTTCGATCAATCCACAATTTAATTCAAATTCATTTCTTTGCCAGAATGTATGTGTACAATAAAGTATGATCTTACGTCTAATGACCCATTTACATTCTACCACTTTAAATGGTGTGCACATATTTTATAGATATACATCTAAGAAAAAAAATTTTAAACAACAAGTGGGAATTCAATTTCGTACATTTAGAATTATTATTAAAAGCTAGATTAATTGATGTCAATATTATAATAATGTCAAATAAATAACAGAATTTAAAATATCATACAATGTAATGATTGTTTATAATTGTTAATGTCCATACTTTCAGGTTGTTCATAATTAATTAATTATTAGTTATACATCAATATTACTGACGTCAGATTTAATTTTCGTAAAAAGACATTAAGGTATTATACCTATATATTATAGGTATTGTATATACATATATATATATATATATATATATATATATATATATATACAATACCTATAATATATATAATACCTTAATGTCTTTTTATGAAAATTAAATCTGTTTTTTATGAAAATTAAACCGATTGTTATTTCAGTTTTATAAAGAAAGAGAAAGTTTGTTATATATATATATATATATATATATATATATATATATATATATATATATATATATATATATATATATAACAAACTTTCTCTTTCTTTATAAAACTGAAATAACAATCGGTCGATATCACACCCGGTGGCCAGCAACTACTGCAGCTCATGGACGTCATGAGCAACCTTCAAAGAAAGAAGTTGTCAGATTTTCAGAAATGAAACAGGAGATGGGCATTAAAATAGCAGCTTAATGCCGCTGTGTTGCGCATGGTGAGGGTAGAGAACCGGAGAGCCTTTATTACTGGAAAAGAGACATTCCATCTTGGTCCTTAGAGAGGTGACAACGCATCTGAATTTTGTTTCTAAATCGAGGTTAAATGTAGATATCTGTGGGCCACAGCATCCACTTACCATCGGGTAGACAGTGAGCTCGTTTGTCACCCTTATTCTATTAAAAAAAACTTAAAACAATAAAAACCAGCCAACCCGCCTAAAATATAAGCATGACAATTATGACAAATAGACTGCCTATATCAGGCAATCTATGGGGAGACCTATGTTCAGCACTGATTTTTTGATACAACTCGCGGCACGAAATTCTAGCAGTGACCGTAATTGCGCGTAATTGGCCGTATTGCGCATTATTGCTATCCTCTCCATGTTTCGTTCAGCGCTAAAATGCCGTGCCGCGAGTAGACTGTAACCAATGAATGTATTTACCGTGTAGTGGCAGTATAAGACTATCCATTACCCTATATCATCCCGTGCGTGTCGTAAAAGGCGACAGAGGTAAGAAAAATCAGAGATAGTCACCAGTATCTTCCTAATAACGACTAAAAATAAAAAATGCCGTTCCTAACCCGCTTGCCAGGAGTGGTAACTGCGGCAAATCTATGAGGTAATTTATGGGGGAGGCCTATGTTCAGCACTGGACTTTAATAGACTGTAACGGAACGGTAACGATTGAATGAATGGAATCACTGCAAAATATTTTGTGGCGGCGCTGTCGTCGCGCTACAAGCAAAAACATATCGAAGCCTAAATCGCGCTATCAAAGTTCCGAAGTAAAACAGTATATATAAAATACCTACGAACTACCACTGCCACTCGGAGCGTTGGCCGCTCCTAGGGCAGTACACCTTACCCAGCAGGAGATTTTCTTTCCATTGCCATAACTTTTTATTTTTATAGATAACGATGGAGGGTCGACAACGCGTGCAGCAGAACGATCTGCTGCTACATGAGGCTGTCATTAAGAACGAGCCAGCGGCAGTAAGGGAAGCGTTGCAGAGACCAACTGACGTCAATTGTAGGAATAACGTAAGTTCTGCTTCTACTACATTTTATGGCTTCTCTTGCAAGTATTTTATTTTTTATAACATTGAAATGACAGTAAAACTTACAAATGAAATGACAATATATATTATATAATTTATACATGGTAGAGCCATGCTGCAGCTATATCAGTAGTATAGCTGTCGCATAAATGGGTCGGCTCGTACGGTAATGGACCACCTTCTCACAGAATACCAGCGTGACTGTGTTTCGTATGATGCGTGTATAAAATTGGAGACCCCTTTTACTGGAAAAGATGCATTCCATCCTAATCCTCAGAGGTAATAACGCATCTGCATTTTTATTCGTAATCGAGGATAGATTTAGATGTCTATGGACCACAGCAATCACTTAATCTTCAGGTGGACTGTGTGCTCGTCCGTCACCCTACAACTACCAACATCAGGAAAATAAATGGAATATAAATTTAAGTATTTAATGTTTATAAGCTATTTATTCATACAATGTTTATTTTTATTAAGTTTTATTTTTTTAGTGGCCAGCATTCTTGCCACAATGCAGTGGAGAATAGGACTGTATGATAAACTAAGTTTTTAATATTTTTTAAGGTAATAGATACTGCATATTAATGTTTTATGAAAATTAAAATATAAAGTTATATCACTAATATTGATATATATTCAATGTGTGTGTTTTAGTACGGAAGAGCTCCAATTCACTGGGCAGCCAGCAGAGGAAATGTGGAAATTATTAATTTACTCATCGACGCCAAATGCGACATAGAAGCTGTAGACAAGGTAAGAGCATTTTAGGAGTTTTGTTCTACATTTATTCCGGTAAAATATAACTAAAAAACGAATCAAAACTGCTCGCGCAAAAAATAGAGAAAATTATTTATTCACAGAATGACACACAAAACCACAGTTTTACAAAAGAAATACGAAATAGAAAAAATTATAAAGCAATTATTTGCTAAACTGCTAACGTTTCCACGATAACGTTCTTTGTTGCTATTTAAAAAAAATAGGCCAAAGGTTGGTTAAAGTTTTTTTTTTTAAATAGAATAAAGGTGAAAAACGAGCACATAGTCCACCTAATGGTAAGTGGATGTAGTGGCCCACAAATAGTAGAGACATCTATTCTCATTGTCACCCCTGAGGACTAAGATGGAATGTCTCGCTTCCAGTAAAAATGATCTCCGGTTCTACTCACAATAGGAAACACAGCAGCATTGGACTGCTATTTTACAGTACAATCGATCAGTTAAAACTGGAGATATGTATTATATTAATTTTACTACAACAACTGAACCTCTTTTAAATCATTTTTGAACTGTCCTAATGCATACCTAATTTCAATTCATAAAGAATCTAAGGGCTTTACTAATCAAGACATTTGATAACAGTTTGGAATGCGTCCTCTGCTGATGGCAGCTTGGCACGGCCACCTGGAAGCTGTGAAGACGCTCGTACAAGCCGGCGCTTGTCTTGCGGCTACTAATAAGGTAATCTTAGTACGAACATCTTTCAAATAAAATATTTATAATAATATATCCTTGTAAATACCATGTAGTGGCGATGTAAGAATATCCATTGCTTCAACATCCCGTGGGTGTTGCAAGAAGGGACAGAGGGATACAAAGCTTAAGATGGGCAGCAGTGCTTCCTAAAAAAAAATTGCGGATGCCACGTCTCCTGCCAAGCGTGACAATTATGCCAAATATCACCCCTATAGGGCAATCTATGTTTAGCTATGGACTTTAATACACTGTGACGGTAAAGGTATTGTTGCGCCTCATAATTAATGCCTGGTACATGACGACATTGGCTACCCCTAGCACCCTCTAGTATCGAGTAGCAGGACTAGGAGAGTCAAGATTCTTCTAAAAAATTTTTTTTTTTTATTTAAAAAACTTTATTGCACTTAAAATGTACAGTTGGCGGACTTAATGCCTTTAGGCATTCTCTACCAGTCAACCATGAGCTAAGCAGAGAACTTTAGCAGGTGCCATAAAATATGTGGATAATTTATAAGTAAATGTAAATATATAAATAGACATACCATAAGTGTAAATACAAAAATAAATATACACAACTACAATTAACCTAAGTAATATATGATACATTTCATACATAATGTTTAAATAGTACATAACACATACATTTTAAGTATACTTACATACGAACATAACTAAAAAAAATTAAATAATTTAAAATTTCAAGTCACATATAAACAGAAACAATTAAATATGAAAGTTACTTGCTGGAAGAAGAAAGGTAGTGATCAGTCACCATCCTCTTAAAATGTAGCAACAGAAGTCGGTTTTCTGACATGAGGGGGTAATTTATCCCATAGCCTTATGGCCTCAGCGGCGAAAGACAGACATAAAGGTACGGCGAGGAAAACACATAATGTAGTTCCCTCGGAGGATCGCAGGTTACGATCGTGAGAAGAACCCAAATACTGAAACTTGCATTTCAGGTATTGGGGAGTGCATGGATCATATAGAATTGAAAAAAGCTTGCGAAGAATATTGATACATCTACGCTGATGGATAGGGAGCCATTTAAGCTTAGAACGATATATGGATACATGATCGTATTTACGAAGGCCAAAAATAAAACGGATGCAATTATTTAATAAACGATCCAATTTGCACAGAAGTAGTTGACTCACATCAGAGTAACACACATCAGCATAATCAATGAGTGGTAAAACAAGCGCTCGCACCAACATAGCCTTAGTCTCGGTTGGAAGGAAATTCTTGAAACAATAAAGGCCACGCAGGGTGATTGTCACTCTCCGGCTTATTTCAGCCACCTGAGATTGCAACTTAAATTAGCATCAATCATTAACCCAAGGTCTTTAACTACTTGACTAAGAGGAATAATTGTGCTATTGTAAACGATGGGCTCCAGTGAATTAAAATCTAATTTAGCTATACGGCGAGGACTACCGAGAATTATCGCTTGACATTTAACAGGAATGACAGCAATTCCATAATTTCTGCACCAGTCACAGATGGTCATGTCAGAACTTTCTAAACCAAGTCAGTCGGGACCGGTATTCATATAAACATTCTAGATGTTTTAGTAGAGGAGGCCCTACATATGGCCGGTATAGACCGCGAACCGGGTCGGTATTGAATTGACGGTACAAGCGAATACTTCAAAGCGATACAACTGCGAACTAAAGTGATCTATAGTGTCGACAAATGTGTTATTATTAGTGTGTTTTAAGTTGTAATTGGTGTTCTATAATAAGTTCTGTAAATAAAAAGTGTCAATTTTGGTAATTCAGTCGGCAGTTTTTACTGTCACGAACCCCAAGCTCCTATCAGTACGTTTGTAAAACGAACCAAAATTGTTATAATGTATTACTTAAATTGTTAGATTATGAGATGTTGCGTGGTAGCTGCATAAAAATTCATCACACCATTTGGGTCCGGAAGCGTCTGAATTTTGGTCACGGCAGCCAGTCTCAACGGAGACCAGCCATCTGCACGGGACAAGATTATAGTGTACAAGTGTATGTGCAAACACAGGTTCCCTCTCTATTCCCTTACTCCCATAGTCTGATGGGATGGTAAGTTGACACGAGCGGAGAGAGATCAGGCTCAAGACGGTTCACGGACGGTTTCACGTGCTTTCTAAAGCATGGGGGTGAAATACTGCCAACTTCCTGACTCCAGGTTACCACATAGTTATATACCATAAAAATACATCACAATACATGCTTGTAGTGTAATTCTCTTATGTTATCACTCGTATACTATTTGGTTATGATAGTCCTATTCTGAAATCCGTATTAGAAGTTTGGTATTTCAGCAGCCAAGCCACAGCGTATCCACTCCTGTGTTCCAAAACCCTGAGGCACTTTATTTTAGTCATCGTTAATTTACGATACGTAATCTTCTTTGTTAGAATTTGCATGTTTGTTTTTGAATTTGAAAAAACGAAAGGAAAGCACAGACCACAGACTGCATGCAAATTATTTAGAAAATGCCAAATTGCACCCTATTTACAAATAAATATGAATTAAAATTTAATGATGATCTTGAACATTAATCAAAAGTCTAAAATGTGTAAATTTACTCAGTCTGTCAACACAGTGAATCGGGTTTGGCGACGCCAATCCCCGTACAAAATAAAGTTGACAGCCATTCTATTGTGTATTATAATATTCTATGATTTTTATCGTCTGGAAAAATAGGGTGTAACATATGAGCGGAATAGAAGTCTATGGCCCTGATAATTTACAAAAAATAAAAACAAACATTTTGAATTAAACGTTTGAAAAATTATTTTGAACAATTACTTTGCCCTTTGTCCTTGAGCCTGTGACCCTGCGAAGTGACAAGGTCAAAGATGCCTACAAAATTATTTGTTTTATTGCCGTTAGTAAAGTAGGGTGAATATGATTTGAATTTGTTGGATTTTAATTTATTTATTTATTTAATTCAAAATTTTTGTTTTTATTTTTTGTAAAATATCAGTGCCATAGGCTTCTACTCCGTTCACATGTTACACTCTATTTTTTCCAGACGGTAAAAAAGATTATCCAGTATAAGTCCACAATTAAGAAGCAAAATGCTGATGGTCGAACAAGTAGATGAATTTCTATATTAGGGATGTGTATTCAGCAGGGATGGGAGATATGATAATGAATATTGAACGACGAGTGAATGCAGGAAATAAAGTAAATGGGCCTCTACACTCTATTGTGAAAAGTTAGAATGTGTCAAAAAAAGCACGTATGGCAATTCACAATGCTGTATTACTCCCTACTTTAACGTATGGTAGTGAAAGTTGGGTGTGGCAGAAGAAGCACGAGAGTAGAATAAATGCGGTGAGAGTAGAAATGCGGTCGCTGAGGAGTATGTTAGGGCTGAATCTGAGTGACAGGGTGAGAAACTGTGTGATAAAAGAAGAGTGTGGTTTGCAGGATAATTCGGCGACCAGGATTAAGAAAGGAACGCTTCGGTGGTTTGTCATATAGAAAGAATGCATGAGGAAAGACTGACAAAGCAAATATATTTTGCAGAAGTGAAAGGAAGAGTCGGAAAGGGACGTCCTTGGCGAAAGTTTGTCGACCAAATTGGCGTTATATTAAAAATGGGTCAAATTAAGAGTACCCTTAACCGACGAGCATGTATGCATTATACCTACGTAGGTATATGGATGTGGAAGAGGCGAGAGAGGTATGTCAGGATCGTGCTAAATGGAAGTCTGTGGTCTGTGCCTATCCCTCGGGTTGACAGGCGTGAGTGTTTATGTGTATGTATGTGGTAATGCTGATGGTTTACGTAGTAGATGGCTCTACAGGTGAGTTTTATGTCATAAAGTGGAGAATTTGGTCATAGCTTTATCCATCCAAATAGTTTGTTAATTTTACTGCAACAAATGAAAATTTAAATTAACAATTTAATGAACATATTTTTAAGTGGTAGAGCCATATTGCAGCAGCATTATGGTTGTAATTTGTAATTGTAATTGGTCGGCTCAACCGGGAAATAATCACGCTCTCACAGAATACTAGCGTTCAACAGCGGATTAATGCTGCTGTGTTTCAATGGTGAGCGTTGAGAACCGGAGAACCTTTTTACTGGAAACGAGGTTTTCCATCTTAGTCCTCAGGTTTGACAACGGACCTGCATTTTGATTCTAAATCAAGCATTAATGTAAATGTATGGCCACAACATACACTTACCATCAGGTGGACTGTGAGCTCGTTGCCTCTGAGGATTACCACTTATGCCACTTAATACCAGAAAATGACATGTAAATCATTATAACTTTCGACATTTTGATTTAAAAAAAACTTATTTTGATTAATTAAGCTGTATACACGTATTAATAAGTCGGGATACTAAGTGGATATCTCACCAGTAGAGTTACACATTACACTGTATTCTAGCGCACTAAATAATTACACACATATATATATATGTAATATTTATAATATATATTCCATAACTATCACACAACGCCATCTAGTCCCAAGCTAAGCAGAGCTTGTGTTATGGGTACTAGACAACTGATAAACATACTTATATATTTCTAAATACATAAATATTATAGATAAATTACACACAGACACAGAACAAATGATCGTGCTCATCACACAAACATTTGTCCTGGCTGAGAATCGAACCCACGACCTCCGGCATAGCAGTGAGGGTCACTAACCACTAGACCAACAGGCCTGTCAAGCACATCGCTGTTTTACGACAGGGAGTAAAAACAATAATGCGAATTCGGCAATGTTAATAAAAACAGTCAGTAATTTTGCGAGATGTCTGATATTTACGCAGCGGTCTTGGGACCGCGTTGAGTTTATGTGTGACTTTATGAGTCTATGAAACGACATCAAGCAGAAAGAGGCTAAGTCAAAATAAAATATTCAAGACAAACGTATTTACATCATGCGGCTTTCGATTTTATTCAAATACTAGTGACATGCCCCGGCTTTGCCTGGGACGTTACTAAGATAATGAAAGACCAT